ACTATTTATTAAATAGCCCCTGGGTATCACAATTTGTTTTTGATAAATAGCTTCTGGAATTTATAAATAGCTTCTGGGATTTATACATAGCTTCTGCGATTTATTCATAGCTTCTAGGATTTTATAAATCGCTTCTAGACTCCAAATGCTCAAAACAGAAACCAGCTAACAAAGAGGCTGCTATACTCAGTAACATATAATTTCTATATCTAAATCGACTTATCTATTTCATTTATTATCTCTTTTAGATTATTTTCGTGACAGAAGACGTATCAATTTCTATAAATATCCTAAAAAATTTTGAAAGTGGGTCTATGATCCTAGAATCTCTAATATTTCCGAATAATTCTAAAATCTACGAATTATTAGAATCTTTAGGGAATCCTTAAGAAATATTTTAAAAATGAATCAGAAATAGATCCATTCTTAAATAAATGAATATAAATATATATTTCATATAAATAAATATATATATATATAAAGAAAATTTAAAGTAAATCATATAGGAACTATAAAAATATCTAAATCTAGACGAATAATCAATTATTATGTAGTTAAAATCCCTTAATCGAATAGATTCTGAAAGATTTTCGATTTCCGCCCCAGGCCTACTCCAATTCGCCGCACAGACGTGAATAGAAATGTCCTCTCTAATATATTCTATAAGATTGGATCTCCGCGCCGGGCCTGTATCGAGCCGCGCGCAGGCACCCAGAGAGAGAGAGAGAGAGAGAGAGAGAAATATTTCGAAATATCAGGAAATAGGTGAATCCTGGGATTTCTAGCATTCTATTATTAATATTCGTAAATTTCATTCTGATAAATCTTCAGATATGATATTCCGAATATCCATGATAAATTATTTCCGGAATTAGTTATATCCCCTTCATAATGATAATTTGATCAATATATTTTTGCAGATCCAGGCCATTGCCAGTTCCATGCCATGTGGGGTTTGGACCGAGGGCTTTAAAGGTCTTCAAGACTCTGTTTGGAAAGTGCAATGAAGCCCAAATTTCCTGAGCCATACGATGTCGGAAATAGCATGATTTTTCCAAAGTTATGCAAGGTCCGCACTCAGGAAATCAAAGGGCAATTTTGAGAAGTCCCCTGATTCAAGCGGCCACGCCGGCCGTTGCTGTACGATCAGGAGACAATGTGAACATGGGCAAAGAAGTATTTACATGTAGCTCCGGGGCTTGGCAAAGAGAATGTCCGCGGATTTGAGCTCTGCTGGTGAAGCCAGCAGGAAATACTCCGCCCACCCATCAAACATGGAGCCCCGCTTGGTGAAGACCACGGGTTTTCCGCGGATGTCATTCATCACGCCCTGCGTGCTAAATCCGTGCCAGCTGTAGTCAGCCTTGGTCACGGCAATCTCGGCCCATTCCTCCACGGAACGTACGCGTTCCACTCCTCGAATTTGTTGGCGCCTGCAACCAGTACAGAAAGCAACGTGGCTTGTCCACAACAGGCAAAAAATTAGGGGCACGGAAGCTACAATCAAACTTGGCCTCTTCTCTGGCAGCTTGATCAGCTCTTGGAAGGCCTGCCAACTCAACTTCCCTCCGCACAACAGGCTCCAATTGTGCCGCGGCCTTCTCACCAGCACTTGTAGGCTGGCGGCTCGTGGCGCGAAGCTGGGAAAAGTCCTGAACCTTGCCACCACATGAGTGCGAGAAAATCGCTGAAACCAAGGCCTAATATGCCTCGTCCAATTGAATGAGCAAATGCTTTCAGAACAAAAATGGAATGCTGCCGCCTGCGCGCCGACCGGTTTTTGGGGGGGATGAGGCGAGCTTCCTGACCCGTTCTATACTGAAGATCTGAATGCTTGGAGCCTCAAGTTTGAGCACACCCTGTGTTTCGTTCTTCCAGCCAAGAGGCTGAGATCAGCGGAGCAAGCTGCATCATAGCCCTGGGACCGGGTCGGGCATCGCATTGTTAAAAGCCACTGAGGCCCACTTTGTTTAGAAAATTTGGGACGCTACCTCAGGATTTAGCAATGACAAGCCTTTTTCAAGGAGGTCCTGCCTGTGGAAACCGTACCCGCCCACCATACTTGAAACATTGTATTACACACGGTAAGTTGTTAAGATTACGGTCCCATTTTGGGTAATTACCCCAAATATTCGGGGCCATATTATACCAGGGACCCAAAAAGAGCCAGAATTTTGACCACCTACCATATAAGCACTTATCAACAGGATTGTAATCTTTCTCATCCCGCATATCCCCATACACTGGATGGAGAGCATCCTGCACACATGCACGTCCATGACGTCCTGAAAATTGTATAACTCAGCGGACCCAAATCGACTTCACAGACCTTGCAGTCATCAGCGCAGCCAGGACACTCAACTGGCAGGGGCTTGGGATTGTCCCGGATCACCTGAAGAGAAACAATGGGGGAAACCTCCACAGATAACCACGCATAATGGAGAATCAAGTGGGAAACGACATGGATCATGAAACGGAATCTGGGCTTTGACAGGGTTGTTATAAAGAGAATGAAATGTAATGTACAAGGACCTGAGACATCACCAGTGTCATCTGAAAATTCGTTTGGGGCCATACTTGCGCTACACAAGAAATCTGAAACCCTAGACCCTAAACCATAACCCGCATCTTGGGTTTACCTACAAGCAGGAAAGGCATGGCTTAGGGCAGGATGTTTGATCCGAAGATATGGTGGTAACTGAAAATACGTGTCCGCAAGATACCATAATGTAGGTTCCTGTTTTTGGCCAACTAGGACCCCCTAGTAAGAAGTGCATTCCAAATTGGCCCTTCCTTTAAACGGAACTGTAACACAAACCTCATGTCTGCGAAGCTTGTCGTTTGATGTGAAGTAACATGAACGTGCAACAGGCGGAAGGAGGACCAGCCGAAACCCAAACTCCTCAAGGCGTCAATTTTACGGGGAAAGGGCGTAGTGTAGTGGCCCGAGAATTTGCAAACATTACTGTACAGTCTAAATGAACACGCTATACTATATCTATACAGGGAACCTAGGACGACACTATTCGTAATTTTCTATGTAAGGACTTATGGCCCCACCAACCCATGGGGCTAAGGTCCCTAGACCATGTCGCCGGCTCGTTATGGCTGCCTTGAAACGCAGCTGGGAGCGAGGCAATGTCTGGCTCGCGAGCGTAGCCTGCAGACACATTAGCACATCACCACAGGCGCCCACGAAGGCATCGAGTGAACAGAACAACGTCTTCAAGTATATAGGTTCAGGGTTTAGGGTTTAAGGGTTATATTGTATCAGCAAGTATATAAGAACTGAAGATTTAGAACAGCTTGCCGAGGAAGAATGTGCCATAAAGCGCGTACAGGTGTGTATATATATATATGTATATTTACAGACAGCATTATAAGGGAGCAGCTGTATCTTTATTACGCAGGCCCGTGAAAGCTAGGGTAGGGGCAGAGTTGTGCGTTGCGGGAGTGCTAGACGCTGACTATACAGGGATTAAGGGGAAATGGATTGCAGAACTCAAGGGTACTGCAACACTGCCAAGCCTATTGGAGATGTTAGCTGTCACCGTTATGCTATGTGAAAAATACGGTCAAAGCCATGCAGATGATGCAGCGTGGCTTTGTTTGTGACTACGAAGCTTCAAATGTCCTTATGATACTTTATGTCGTAGCATCTCATAGCATTTCAGCTCACCTCAGATGATATCACGTCATGTCGAAATATGTCTGTACACAGGGCAATGGACCATGAGCTGTCGTGAAATCCCTTCATAAAACCTAACCAGCATCTAGCAACTCTTTCCAACATACAACCCCTTTAGATTAAAGAACTTTAGTACCTAAAGGGGTGTGATATGTCGGTTTCACAGGCTGAAATATCTAAGCGCCTGTCCTGCAAGCTGCCAGCATCGCCTAAAAAATGAACACAACAGTTCAACGCAACATACCTTTGTGTTATACACACATGTGGAAAAGATCTCTACCAACGAGACAACCGCTCTTGCAAGGTTGCGAAGGTAACAATCACCGACCCAGGCCTTCCGGCGATTGCACATCACAAAGGCCTCAAGTCAAGGGGTTTGCTCAAGAGTGTGCAGAGCTCCTGGAATTTCATGTGCATGCTTAAGGGGTTGCAGGGAGTTTGAGAATGTCATGCATATTGAACCCTAAACCCACAACCGCGTGGCTTGAATATGTCCAGCCCCTGAGGCAAGGTCAGGAAGATGCGAGCCATGTGAAGAGCGCTTCCATGGAAACGGCCTAGCGCTTGACTTGGCTTTCCAAGAAGCGTCTTCCTTTCGTCAGCACTAGGTTTGAGCTCTTAACAGCATGAACCGGCGTTTTTGAATTCACAATTCCCACCGCTGATGGCCCACAATCCTGCCAAAACCTTCATGCTTGAGGGTCAGGGGGCTTGAGTAATTATACTTATAACTCCCATAAGCCGTATAATAGCCCCAGTTATCCCCATCACTAACCTACTCACTAAGTCTCCCTGACCCTCCTAGTAGGATACACAAAAGGCCATGCAGGTTTCTGTCCATCAAAAAACGCCGCCGCTGACGCGCGAAACTTGCGGTTATGGGGATTATGGGGGGTTATATTATTGAGGTAATATGGGGATAGAGGAAAATAAAATGGAAACTACTATAGGGTTTAGGGTTTAGATTTCGAAGCACAACTTGGTGGTTGTTTGTGTGGAGGGAAGGAATAAATCCCTGGAGTGGCCCCTATATAATCCCCAATGATATCTTTGTTCCCGGTTCATTTTCCATTCCTTGGTTCCCATGTAGAAGCTCACACCTTTTCCTAATAATCCCCGCCGCGGCATCGTCTCCTCCCGCTGTGATTATGTTACTCCCAGTAATGCGGGAAGTACTTTCCCGTTGCACGAGGAGTAAAACAGCCAAAACAAGCAAATAGAAGTAAACAAAGGATCATTAAAGTGCTCAAGACGGTTGATATTAGAGCGTGTGTGTATATATATAACTGCAATATGAATGTTATGTTGGGTTAGGCCCCCCCTACCCGTAACAGTGGTATTCTAGGAACATATAGGGACCCTAATATCATTACCCCTGCCCATTGTGGTCACTGTGAGTGGGTGGGGGCCCAAGCAAAATATCATCCAACTGTTTCTTGTTGAGAACCAACTGTTTCCTAAACCCAAAACCTTGAACCCTAGACCCCGAACACTAAACCCTGTAGCGTAAACCCTAAACCGCGTTTTCCTCTTGCGCACCAGGCAGCTCAGCCACCAAACTTAGCCTGCTGTGCATTCTGCACAGCAGAAGCCCCCAGGCAACATACCTTAAGTATGGGGGGGTTGATCAACACTCCTGTACCTAGGATGGCCATTGTGGACAACAAGTTTGCTTACATCTCCCCTGTTGACCTGCAGCAATCCTAAATCATTTCCCTTTAAATTAAACCGAAATTTCCCTTATATATTCCCCGTTGACCTACAGAAATCCTAAATCATTTCTCTTGAAGTCAACCCCCATGTGGAGGTGATAAAGAACCCAAGGAGCCCAGTACCCCAAAGTCGAGCCGCATTACCCAGGCACGGTCAAGGGTTTAGGGTTTAGAGTATAGACCCTCATCAAATCAGGGGTGCTGCGCTCCGTGGGCATAGCTTGGTGCTGGCGTTCTCTAGCCCAGAACCCTACATAGGCCTAAGCCCTCGACGCTGCTCTCTGGACTTCATACTACAGCGGCACAAATAATTACCAATACCATTTTGATGTCTACTTGGGGAAACCTCTACCGTAACTATACAAGGAATCTAGGACCATAATACTGATGATTACTTACGCCGTCATCTTACCTTGGGTACTGCCCCCACCCAGCAACAGTCTGTAATGAAGTTCATACCTGGGGCTATATTCTGCAACTTTTACCCTAAACCCTAAACCCTAAAGACCCGAAAAAGTAAATACCAGCCGATTGTTGCTGGGTGGGGGCAGAACCAAATACATACCCTTCGCTGCCACTTCCTAGGTCCGTGTCTGTAATGAAGCCCACTAAACTAGATCCTTAACCCAGTAGAAGGAAGTCCAAAAGCTGGACACAAACTGAACCACGCCTCCTGTGCGAACTCTACAGCACCGTATATCTAGACCCTTAACCCTAAACTCGAAACCCCTAAACCCTACACCGTACCTGCTTCATCTGCATGTACATGAACTTGAGGATTGAATTTGTTCCCATGACGGTTGGCGGAACGACAGACGCAAGCGCGGCACTTTCAGGCAGTGAGTCTACTCAGGTTTACGGGTCTAGAGTGTAAGGTCTTGGGTTTAGGGCTTCATGGAGTACCGTCCACCAAACCAACGCGAAACCAGATACAGTCCACAGCTAAAAGGGCAGTAGTCTGTGCGAGGCCCCTTTTGGGCTTCCATGTTTGCTTGGGGGAGCAGATACAGATACCCTAAGCCCCCCGTACATCTCCACATATTCCTATACATCCTCCATCTTACCCCTAGAAGGAAATAACCAGAAGACAAGCACAGCAGAATGGGCTCACAGCGTTGAACAGCCCTGGAGGGTTGCACCATATTCTGTTTGGGGCTTAAGGTTCAGGATTTAGGGCTTGGGTCTAGGGTTTAGGGTTTAGCGTTTAGGTTTAGGGAGGCAGTTCGCGGGATCTAGGTGGGGTGTAAGGCTGTTTTCTGTCTGGCATCATACGTACCCCTATAGCCCGAAAAACCCTGAAATCTACATCACAAACCCGAAGCTCTACGCCCTGAACTCTAAACCCCAACTCCTGAATCCAAACTCCAAACAATGAACCCCAAAACCTTAAACCCTGAACGTTGCACCAAGCCCTGTCCTATGCGAAGGTTCACAAGCCCTTCAGGTTGCGAATCTTCCCTACTCAACGTCCTGATGCTGAAGGGGCCAGGCACGAAAGCAAAAAACACTCAGCAAGAAATCCTAGGGTTTAGGCTTGAGGGTCTAGGGAGGACTCTTGAAACCCTCTGCCCAGAGAAGAACTGTATGGATAAAGCCCTTAACCTTGTTCGCTCTCCTGTTGCCCCCGCAGCACCATTAGAGTACCCTTCCCAGGTGAGACGACTGTCGGATCGTCCGTGGCTTCAGGGTTTGAGGTTAAGGGCTTAGGGTGTAGGATTGAGGGTTGAGGGCTTAGGGTTTAAGGACCCTAAACCCTAAACCCCAAACCCTAAACCCTAGGGCTTAGGGGGGTAGGTTCAAGCAAGGTTTAGGGCTTTAGGGGTCGCAAAGCCATGATGACAGACCGCTTGAAGAGGCCGACTCTTGCAGCTCACCGGAGGGCTAGAAGCTTCAACACTGAAACATAAACCCTAAACCCTTCTCAATCCTAAACCCCTAAACCCTACACCCCTAAGCCGTAAACCCCTAAGCCCTAAACCCTAAACTCTTCGAAACCCTAAACTCCTAAAACTCTAAACCCCCAAGCCCAAACCCTAGAAGCTTCTAGCCAATGGATGACCATGGACCATAGAGGTTGTCGCAGTAGACCTGAGCTGAAAGACACCACATTGGGGGTTTCTCAAAGTGGTGCTAAAGGGCCAACAGGGTTTACTTGACCCATATTACCCTAGAAAGAAAAAGGGATCTTTTTTACATAAATCTAAGGAATCCCATACCCCAAAAAGTATAAAGGATCCCTAACATTGATCCAGTTTAGGGGCTTAGGGTTTAGGGTCTGGGGATCATAGTCCCCATTATGCTTGCAACAGCCTTGTCTCCACCACCCTTGATCTTGTATCTGTCCACCTGAGCTACGACATAGTTAATGGACTATGGACATGGGTTTCCACTAGGGAATATATGCATATATATAAGACCACACTAAACTACCAAACCCACCCCCCGATATCCACCCTCAACGGTCACTTGGTAAACCTAACAGCTCGTTTGTAACCTTATAAACCACTAAATAATCCCAATTTCCATTTGATTGTTCATTATCTTTTCAATTTGGTTCCCCCTTATTGGGCTTTATTACCCTAAAACCTTATACGTCTTACTTAATGGTCTATCCATGAGACCTCCATCAGGGCTAAGAGTTCAAGGGTTTTTGGGAGCAAGCAGGCATAGCTGAGACGGGAATTCCCCAAAATTTTAGTAAACAGGATTCGGGTTTCAATGGACGATTTAGATGTTGTTTGACTAGGGTGATTTCGAGGAGATGTGAACCATTCAAGTTTCCGCTTGATCTTAAATGGCGAATTCAATTGAGCCCGATATGAGCACTGGCCTGAACTGCTACAGCTCCGTAGGGTATGTCAACTGAAGGTCTGCTGGCGAAGCTGAAGCAAGTTAGAAATACAAACCACTGATAGTTGGTTGTGAACGTTTTTGGCTTAGCCTCAAGCAGCTTGGGCGCAAGCCGTCTTGTTTCCAGGATGGCTCTTCTGGCTGCAAGCTTCACGTGATTTTGAAAAACAACTGATGTGGCTGCACTGCAGCCAGATTCTCCAAACAGAAACTAGTGATTCTATCTAACAGGCGGCATAAAGAAGAGTAGCGAGCATCGAAGGCGAATAACTAGCCACAACTGGGGCAATGACCGCTTGACACCCTCCCCCCCCCCAAAGGACCTCAGAATCGCTACGGCGCGGATGTCAGAGGGTTGCTGCGACCAACTTTGCCAATAGAATTCATTGCTCACACCTAGCATTCTTGGGCAGCTTCCGCAGGGTATAGAAACCATACTCCACGAGGACCCCAACATAGACCCCCAAATACCATAACCCTTCTTGTGGTACCCTTTTTTTGCGAACCCTAAACCCTATAAATCGTGACGTAAACCCTATATACCCCTATATAGCCCCCACAAACCCCCCCCTTTAAAGGTATCCCTACTTTTGGGAAACCCTTCAAACCCCCCTACACCCCTATACATCCCCTATAGCCCCCCTTGAGAGATGCCTCGAAACCCTAAACCCTAGACTAGACTGGGCACAACCCACAACCCTACGACCAATCAGACACCCCGCCTTTGCAAGCCCCATAACCTCAGATGCCTGGCTGTCTCCCAAACTATCATGTTCAATGCAAGGTTTAGAGTTGAGACCTAGAAACAAGGTTATGTATACACTACTGCCCTGCAAAAAGGGGTCTACAGGAAGATTCAATATTCGTTTGTGGGAGGGTAGCGGCGCTACCCGCACAACCTTCAACCCTGAAGCAGAAAACTCCTAGGTTAGGGCTCAGCGTTAAGGTTAATGGTTTAGGGTCTAGCCCCTCCACCCCGGCCCCCC